TCCAACAGTTTCTGGTGTAATATTTCGAGTATGTAGCCATACAGTCCTTCTAAGTATACTCCACCATTTTAGACCATATATCTTGATATCTTTATTTGGAAAACATGGTCATCTGGGCTTTGCATTTCCAAAAGAAAACTGTGTGTGTGTGTGTGTGTGTGTTCATGAATTCAATATTACACAAATATTCCACAAATGTTTATCACATGCCCTCTACATACAAATCACTGTTAAAAATAGGAACTATAAACTGAATAAAACATAATCTCTGCCCTCAAAGAGCTTACATTTGAGCAGGCAAAGTATACAAATAAATATAATAAAAATGAGCCCTAGCCAGTTTGGCTCAGTGGATAGAGCATCAGCTTGTGGACTGAAGGGTCCCAGGTTCAATTCTGGTCAAGGGCACATGCCCGGGTTGCAGGCTCAATCCCCAGTAGGGGGGCGTGCAGGAGGCAGCCAAACAATGACTCTCTCTTATCTCTCTCTCCCTCTCCCTTCCTCTCTGAGATCAATAAAAATACATTTAAAAATATATGCATATAATAAAAATTAGTTGTTAACAAGAGCCCCAGCTATATCCCTAATCTTTTGAGATTAGATAATAAATCAGTGCACCAGGCCATTCCACAACCCTTCCCTGTCACACACCAAATTTGTGGTCTGAGTTGGTATGTCAATGAACATGTTTTTGCTTCTTAAAACAATGACAGGGCACCAGAATATTCAAATTGGAGCTTTGACTTACAACCTGAAGTTAACAGAGGATGTTTTAAATTATCAAACCTTCTTACTGGATCCTTAGATTAATCTTCATCATGCTTGTTTGTTTCATAACATCTAGCCTATTCCTCAGACTCCAAACATGATTATATCCATTCAGCCTCTCCAAAATGCCTTCACTTGCCACTCACAAGAATAAGCCACCCAGACATTAGTTCAAAGGCACAGACAGGAAAAAGGAAAATAAAGAAACAATGTAGAAAGGAAGAACCCACAAGAGAGAAATGGAAATGGAGAAACACCATGTGTAGATTGTTCGTGGAAAGTGCATTAAAAATCAACTCATGCTGACATTGAGGTGCCACGAGTCCTCTACTCAGCTTTACTTGAAAACCTCAGTTCTGCCTTGAATTGTTTCATTGTCAAATAGAACTATTTATTTTCTTCATCAAACTTCAATAAATTGTATTATTTTAAGGTACTTTCCAAAATGGTGGTGCTCCAATAGAAGTCGACCAGAACTGAAGGCTGTTTTTCTTTTTTAAAAAAGGTGCCATATGGCTGACTTGCAATAGCTTGTAGTCAACCTACCCTTAAGATCTTATTGAATGCCTGCTTTATTGTAATTTTTAAAGCATTTTTAAAAAGATTATCCTTGGGCTAGCTTATTAAATTCCCTTCTAATTCTCAAATTCACCAAAGCTGTTTCAATGGGAAGAAAGTATATTTTCATCTTACTGGCACAACATTTTAAACAATCAGTACCATTCTACTCTCTGTCCATTGTATTTCATATACTATTGCTGATCCTTACACAAACCTTAAAGATTAATAATATCATGCCATTTTATTGAGAAAACAGGGCTCAGAGAGGTTAAAACATTTGCTCAAAACCACATAGCTGAACTAAGACTCAAATTCAGGTCTGTGTGACTCCAAAGCTACTTCACTAAGCTGTTTTTCAACTTGAAGTTTCAGCATTGGCAGATTCTTCATTTGTAAAGGTACATATTTTTACTAGTCAAATAATAATCATAGTCATCTGATTAATAAGTTGGAAGATACTATTTAGGGACCAAAGCAAACTGTGATACAAGGTAATGAGAATAGGCATGGCTGGGTAGCTCAGTTGGTTAGAGTGTTGTCCTGATATATCCCCAGTCAGGGCACATAGAAGAATTAACCAGTGAGTGCATAAATAAGTGGAACAACAAATCAATCAATCTCTCTCAAATAAAAAAAAAAAAACATAATGAGAACATTTCTTCATATGATTTGCAAATTAGTTTCTCAATGCAATTTGAGCTTATCCTGAGGAACGACAGTATCTACAAAACAAAATTGTGGCCTCACAAGATCTCAGCATTGGGGAGCAACAAACCTTCAGGTAGGTTTGTTAGAAAAGAAAATGTCTTGCCCTGGCTGGCATGCCTAAGTGGCTAGAGCAGGGGTGGGGAAACTTTTTGACTCGAGGGCCACAATGGGTTCTTAAACTGGACCGGAGGGCCGGAACAAAAGCATGGATGGAGTGTTTGTGTGAACTAATATAAATTCAAAGTAAACATCATTACATAAAAGGGTACGGTCTTTTTTTTTTTAGTTTTATTCATTTCAAACAAGCCGGATCCAGCCCGCGGGCCGTAGTTTGCCCACGGCTGGGCTAGAGCATCAGTCCTCATACAGAAGGGTCTCGGGTTTGATTCCTAGTCAAGAACACATACCTGGGTTGCAGGTTTGAACCCCTGTCCCGTTCAGGGCGCATTCTAGAAGCAACCAATTGGTGTGTCTCTTTCACATCGATGTTTCCCTCTTTTTTCTCTCTCCCTCCCTCCCTTCCTTCCACTCTCCCTAAAAATCAATGGAAGAAAATATCCTCAGATGAGGATTAACAAAAAAGAAAAGGTTTCATAAAGGTTTACCTATATGGACTTCATAATACTACTTAACACTTGTTAAGAATTTACCATGTTATCTTACTTAATGCTCACAACAATATATGAATATGAGGCCAAGTACCAAAAGGTATCACCTCTTTCACAAATGAAGAAACTAAGGCTCAAGTCAGAGCTGAGACTCAAACTCTAGTAACTCCTAGAACAAGTTAGGTATGAGATCCGAAAGAGGAGGAGGAGTCGGCCAGAAAGAAAGAGGTGCTGCTGGGATAGTGTTGCAAGTGCAGGGCAAGTACAGAGAACAGAAGCTGAGGAGAACAGCAGAGGCCAGATCATAGATGGCCTCCTCCCACGTCACACTGATGGAGGTTCGCTGTGTGCTGCCGGTGATGGAAAGCATGAGAAGGTTTTATATAGAACAGTGGCAAGAAGGGATTTGCCCTTCAGAAAGCTCATACTAGCTGCAGTAAGGGAGTAGACTTGAAGGGGGTTGAAAACAGAAGACTCATCATGGGGTTATGTAAGGAAGATGTGGCCTGGTAGTGGTCTGAATAATTGCAGTTAATATTTTGAGCCCTGTTATTTCATTTTAATCTTTGCAACTCTATGAGGTAGATATAATTACCCCGTTTAATGGATGGGAAACCCAAGGAACAGAAAAGCTAAATAATTTGTCCAAGGTCACAAGGTAAGTGGTGGCAGTAGAGCAAGGTAGGAACATTGGAAAAATATTTAAGAGGTGGTATGGTCATGTCTAGGTGACTATTCAACTCATTATTGATTTTGGGAGGATGGCTAAAGGAGCAGGAATTATCAAGTATGATATGCAAGTTTCTAGCTTGGATAACTAGGTAATGAGCCAGTTAGGAAACACAGAAGCAAGTGGTGGTAGTGGAAGAAAGTGGTAGGTTCAGTTTGAGGTTTGATTTTAACGTGCCTGGGTAGTTTCCAAGTGGAGAGATCTACAACGCAGCTAGCTGCAGGGGCTGGTGTGAACCTCAAAGTGAGTCTTTGATGTCATCAGCCTCAACCTCTCCCAGAAGCAAAATCAAAACCACTTTGGAGAAGCTGAAAAGTATACAAACTTTGAACATGAAGCATTTAGAAAAACTTACTCCAATGGTTTTAACTACAAAACAATATTAGATCATTACAGGGTAGTTTTCTATTAATTTTACTTCTCAGTTATTTTTTACTAATGGCCCTTTACCTTGAAGTCTATAGAGAAGCAGGGCCCAAATTGTCTACACCACCGTCTTTTTCTCCCAGGGCATAGGAACTCTTCTTTGTACAGCACTAACTTTTGAAGCACAAGGGAACCATTTAACAAATTATCATTTCAGTGCACTCAGTGGGGTCCTAATCTGGAAGCATAGCCCTAACCCATCGGTTCTCAACCTGTGGGTCGCAATCCCTTTGGGGGGTCGAATGACCCTTTCACAGGGGTCGCCTAAGACCATCGGAAAACACATATATAATTACATATTGTTTTTGTGATTAATCACTAGCTTTAATTATGTTCAATTTGTAACAATGAAATTGGTGGTCACCACAACATGAGGAACTGTATTAAAGGGTCGCGGCATTAGGAAGGTTGAGAACCACTCTCTAGCCTCCTAGAGAACAAAGAGGAAATCTGCTTTGTTATAATAGGGAAATTAACACATCAAATAGCCTTAGAGGGAAGGCTCCAGGTGAATTTCTCCTGGTGAAATGGCATTTTCCTTCCCAGGAATTAAAAATGCAGAACTTGTAGATGGAGAAATAGTTTTTAAAAAATGCTTTGATAAAATTTCTTTTCCAAGTCTTGGCTATGAGATTATTTCAGTTTTTCTTCCATGTTTGTATCTTTGCCCAATTTAAAGCACTTCCACTCCTTACCTTTGCCTAGACGGGCCCTTCATTTAAAAAAAAAAAAAAAAAGGTTTCGTAAGAGAAAATTACTGGTAAATCATTTGAAAATTGTGGTCACACCCTGGCAACACATAATCACTGCCTTAGGCAGATGGTGCAACTGTGTCATGAATAGAGAGCCTTTGACTGTTTCTAAGAGGTATCTGTTCTGGAATCCCAGCACAGGTTCAGTAGAAATTGTTTAGTAGATACCAAAAATATCTCCTTAAAGCAACAAGGCCTCCTTTCAGTTTTCCTTTTGGATGTGGGTTTTTTTTTTTCTTTTCTCTTCTCCAACAAAGCTAATGAGCCAGTCATTCATACCAAATATGTCCATGTTGCCTTGCCACCAGCCTAATCTTCGTAGGAAATTGTTCAAGTTTTTGCATCTTCCCAAAATATGGCAATATCCAAAGGGTTCACCAATGCGTGAACACAATGTACTCCCAAATTACCATAAAAACATCTGTACAAAGGAATGAATGTAAAGAATGATTGTGCCCAATTTTAATGAATCCAATAAAAACCCATTTTGTGAATCCGTGCTGGATTACTAAAATAATTCTCAGGTTTTTTTATTTTAAAAATTATACTTTTAATTATAGAATATTGTTAGAATAATACAGATATAGACACTAGGATAACTGACCAATACCATAAGGAAAACTGTTCTACGTACTTACTTGTTCATTCACTCTCCACAACCATAGAAAACAGGCACAAAGTGTTCAGGGTATGTGCAGAAGCAGCCAGAGTCTTGGGAGCAGAAGGCATGCAAAGAGAGTCTGATGCATAACTTCTACACAAAGTTCAACATATGGGCAGCAATTGGTAGAAAAAGAGGAGAAAGAGCTGGTCTGGCCCTTGCCCTTTTAACTTCCCAGCTGGAGTGTACATGTTTGGAGAGATGGCCGGGCTACTTAGAAGCCAAAAGCAGCAACAGGCACAGTTTCAGGTTGGGGCAGGAGAGAAGGGAAGAAAAAGGGAGTGAAATACAATTAGGTCAAGAAGATGCTGTCTTCTATGGCCACTCCAAAACTGATGCCCTAATGGCTCACAGAAACAGGAGAACTTTGATATTCATTAAAACCATCAGCAACACTGATATGGTAAAGACATATTCGAGTTTAGTCATTAAGAACATGTAAGTCATTCAACAATTAAAATATGAATACCCACAGTCGGCTAGATTTTGTATCGAACGAAAAACATGCTTCTTGCCCGAGTTTACATTTAAATAGGAGTGGCAACAGAAAGAAAGCTCCTTGGTGGAGTGGTTTTTCATTTTGTTACTTTCGAGGTTGTGTCATTTGCAAGTGATGCAGTCCCACACAGCTGTGGATCATAATTCACTACAGTACCCGACCCTAGAGACCATGAGCTCTTTAACACCAAGTCCCAAAGAGCTATGGCAAAAGTCGTTTTCAAATGTTACAACTTTCATAATAAAGCACAGTAGAAATAACTTGAGACACGCTAAACAAAAATTTCCGTCAGTCCCATTTCCTGGGCATCAATTTTCTTCCACTCACACCCCCAAGTACTTGGATAAGCACCAACATTTGAGATATTTCTTAATTCTTATTTGGGCTGAGATAAGGAGAACTGACACTACTGGGCTTACATTGGGTCAACTCTTATTTTAACCATTTATATCTGTAGGCTGACAGGATGAAAATACATTCCTATAGGCTTATTAATTCCTTGTTACTAGCCCAAAGAGACGGTCAGGCTGAGAACAGGACAATCGGTTATCTCCCACAATTGACTGATAAATATAAACAAGTGTGTAGTTCTGTACAAAGACAGATCTTACAAGAGTGCACATTAAAGCATTAGTGTTTAAATTTTTTCATCATAAAGAATGAAAAAAAAACATTTTTCAATTGGAGTGTGTCTGTAGTTCTGTCACACAATCAACATCACCCAAGAACATGCTAATTCTGTGTGAATTCAGTTTCTGCTATTGGAAAAACCACAGGAATACACATTTTACTGTACATATACATGCTCTTATGCAAGCTAAGAGAAACACTGGGATGTGGCCCTTATCAAATCCTAGAGTTAGCAGTATAGGGAGGATTGATCTTAAAGGGTAGAGGGGAAAGTACACAGAAATGACCTGTGTTCCTTGGGAAGGGACTCTGTGCTTCCTCCCCTGAAATTGTCAAATCCACCTGCTCCTTACACTCCACCAACACTTATGGTCCTATCTTTCCTTGAAGACATTTTCCCTACAATGTTCCCTAGAGTGATCCCCAAAGGAAATTAATAAATTCTGACTAATGGCAATAAAAACAGTGGGCATCACTTCCTAAAGTCACCACCATTGATGAGTCCTTGTCCCCAAACCTGTGTTTCATTTATCCTTGCAATCTGTATCTTCAGTTAGCTTTCACAAAGATGCAAGCTTTTAAAAAGTTAATTAGAAACAATGAGAAGGAAAAATGTTATGATCATTGCCTTCATCATGCAGAATCCAGCTCTCAGGAAGTCAGAAAGGTACAAGTGCATGAGCAACTCAAGGACAAAGCCTTTTGAGTGGTAAGATGTGTGTGCCCAAATACTATGGTAAGTGAATAAGTGTGGCAGTTCAGGCAGTCTCTCATCTTTCTCCAAAGCAGCTGTGACCACCCTATTACAGTCCAACATTTCCCCTAGCACAGTTTTTTGAGCTAAGGCAAGGAGAAATACCTTTTAAAAATTTACTCTATTTCCAGTCCTGAGCATTTACCAGCATTTATTATCTAGACTTCAGAGTTCCAGTTACTCATGGGGCTGATTTCGATGAAGTACTTCATTAATATTGAGTGAATAAAAATCACTATTTTGGAGAGGGACTAACATTCCCAAAGCCGTGGGTCAGAATTTCAAATGGCTTGTCTTCTTTGATGTTTTAAACTGTGGCCTACAACAAGAAAATTCGGTATGGTATAAGAAACTCAGTCTTAAAAGAGCTCTTTGATATCAGATAAAATTGTACCTTCAAATGAATTGTTTCTCAGTCATAATTACAGGACTTAGTCAGTGTGAACTCTCTTATGTTTAATAAGAGCTGAGCTCCGGCTGAAACTCTTTTCGCATTCAGTACATTCGTAAGGCTTCTCTCCCGTGTGAACCCTCTGATGTGTGATGAGGTTGGAGCTCTGGGTGAAACCTTTTCCACACTGCACACATTCATAAGGCTTCTCTCCTGTGTGGGTTCTCTGGTGTTTAATTAGATCTGACCTTTCACCAAAGCTTCGCCAACACTCATTGCACTCATAGGGCTTCTCTCCAGTGTGAATTTTCTGGTGTGTGATGAGATGAGAACTCCGGCTGAAGCTTTTCCCACAAGCGTTACATTCATATGGCTTTTCCCCAGTGTGGGTTCTCTGGTGCTGAACCAAGTGTGAGATGCGGCTGAAATTCTCTCCACATTCATTACAGTGGTACGGCTTTTCTCCTGTGTGGGCTCTGCGATGGCGCACAAGGTCAGAGTTCTGACTGAAATTCTTCCCACACTCATCACACTTGTAGGGCCTCTCTCCTGTGTGGACTCGATAGTGTTTGATGAGATCAGATCTCTCACTGAAACCTCGCCCACATTCATTACACTCATAAGGCTTCTCACCTGTGTGGGTCCTCTGGTGTTGAGCTAGGTGAGAGCTCCGGCTGAAGCTTTTCCCACACTCCTCACACTCATAGGGTTTCTCCCCACTGTGGGTCCTTTGATGTTGGATTAGGTGAGATAGACGGCAGAAACTTTTCCCACATTCGTTACATTTGTGGGGCTTTTCTCCAGTATGGATTGTTTGATGCTGGATGAGATGAGAACTTCTTCCAAAACTTTTCCCACACTCATTACAGTCATAGGGTCTCTCTCCAGTGTGCGTTCTTTGATGCTGAATAAGGTGTGAGCTCCGACTGAAGCCCTTTCCACATTCATAACACTTATAGGGTCTGTCTCCAGTGTGGGTTTTCTGATGTCGATTAAGGTCTGAGATCTGACTGAAGGCCTTTTCCACAATGAGAACATATATGATATTGAATACCTGTGTGAATTTCTTTTGTGGACAAGCAGATCCGTGACTTGTTGGAGAGGATAGCTGACCCACTCTTCTGCTGTTAAATCTCCCCACTGTCTTTCTGATCTATCCCTGCTTTCAAAGGCCTCTTCACTTTCAGGATTTTCCTCTGCATTCCCAACAGGTCTTTCAGATGCAGTCCCAAGTTCTACATCTTCACTAATCTCTTGCTTTGGATTCACCTCGTTCTCACTCCTGATCTCAAAATCTGTAATAAAGAGTAAATAATAATAATAATACTGGTAAACACACAAAGAATTACCTACTACCAGTATGTGCCAGGCATTATGTTAAGTTCTTTACATGAATTAGTACCTCAACTGCCCTGAATCAGGAATTACGATTTCCACTTTATAAATAAGAAACCTATACCCTAGCTGGTTTGGCTCAGTGGATAGAGCATCAACCTGGGGACTGAAGGGTCCCAGGTTCGATTCCAGCCAAGGGCACATGCCTAGGTTGTGGGCTCAATCCCCAGTAGGGGGCGTGCAGGAGGCAGCCAATCGATGATTCTCTCTCATCATTGATGTTTCTACCTATCTCTCTATCCCTCTCCCTTCCTCTCTAAAATCAATAAAAATATATTAAAAGAAAGAAAGAAAGAAACCTAAGGCTGAGAGAAATAACTTCCAAAAGGTCATACTCATTAAAAAATTTTTAAAAATAAAAACTAAAAACAAAAGGCCATACTCATAGATACAGAGAACAGACTGACAGCTGTCAGAGGGGAGAGGGTTTGGGAGACTAGGTGAAAAAGTGAGGAGGGGCCCTAGCCAGTTTGGGTCAGTGGATAGAGTGTCAGCCTGCAGACTGATGAGTCGCAGGTTCGATTCCGGTCAAGGGCACATGCCTGGGTTGCGGACTCAATCCCCTGTGAAGGTGTGGAGGAGGCAGCCGATCAAAGATTCTCTCTCATCATTGATGTTTCTATCTCGATCCCTCTCCCATCCTCTCTGAAATCAATAAAAATATATAAAAAGAATAAGAAAAAGGTGTGGAGGGGATTAAGCAGTATAAACTGATAGTTGCAGAATCACCACAGATATCCGAATTGCAGCATGGGGAATATAGTCAATAATGTCCAGATAACTGGGTAGGCGGCCAGGTGGGTGCTTGGGTCAGCGAAAGGACCACTCTGTAGAGTGCATGGTTTTTTGGCTACTTTGCTGTACATCTGAAACTGCTGTGGGCCCTAACTGGTTTGGCTCAGTGGATAGAGCATCAGCCTACAGACTGAAGGGTCCCAAGTTCAATTCCAGTCAAGGGCATGTACCTTGGTTGAGGGCACATCCCCAGTAGGGGGTGTGCAGGAGGCAGCTGACTGATGTTTCTCTCTCATGGATGTTTCTAACTCTATCCCTCTCCCTTTCTCTCTGTAAAAAAAACCAATAAATTATTTTTTTAAAAAAAACTGCTGTGGAATGGTATTGAATGTAAACTGTAGTTGGAAAAAAGTACACAAAAGGTCATAAATGGTGGAGCCAGGATTCAAATTCAGGTCTGTCTGATAAAAGTTCATACTCTGTATCAATACAGTTAATGGTTCTTTATAAAAACTCTATATATTCCTGGTTTCTCAAAAGGAGAAAACCAGCCAGGCCAGTGGGCTCAGTGGTTGAGCATCCACCTATGAACAAGGAGGTCACGGTTCGATTACCTGTCAGGGCCCAGGCCCAAGTTGTAGGCTCGATCCCCAGTAGGAGGCATGCAGGAAGAGCCAATCATGATTCTCTCTCATCATTGATGTTCCTATCTATCCCTCCCTTCCTCTCTGAAATCAATAAATATGTGTGTTTTTTTCAAAAAAGGAGAATACTGGAAAGAGAGAATATAAGAGACTCTAAATTAGAATCTCTAAGAGCCAAGAACCTAGATATTTTGTATGTGAATGCATGTATGTATGTATATGTGCTTGTTCTTAACTAATCAAGCCTTCATCATTACCATTATATCAATTTACTAAGAACCTACTGGGTTAGCATGGATAAAATGAATTCTTATCTATTTCTTTCAAATCTTAGTTGATAGAAAAAGTGACTGCCAAATGCTACTTTCTAGGGGCCTTTTAATGAAAATGGGTGGGAAGATTGGAGAACGCAAAAAAGATGCCTAGCTTAGAACATTCCTGGCATTGACTAAGCATAGTCTTCAAATGAGAATCAAAATATATAACCACTGTGTACAAAAAAAACTTTCTACCAGACACTGCATTTTCCAAGTTGCATTTCTTAGTACATTCTTCAGAAAGAGGTAGGTATGCTGAGAGAAAAGGGTCCCAAGGATAAATTACTTTGGTAAATGATGCATGCAACATCTCAGAAATTCACATTGCCTGATAACATAATAAAGGCTCTAAAGAGTCTTGAGGTAAAGAGACCTTGTTAACATTATTTAACCCACTTAGTTGGCAAATAATTTTTTTGTGTGTGTGTGCTTCCATGTTTCCATCCCTAAGTGTTCCTTGGACTCAACTTAGACATATAGATTCATATTTCTTTGAGATTCTCATTTCTTATTTTTGTTGTGTTAAGTGGAATATTTGGATAACAGACTGCAATAGATCTGGGTAAATAACTTAATTTCTAGTCGCTTCCTAAAGGAAGGACCCAAGAAACTGTGGATATCAGAGAAAGGCCAGATAAAAAGAAAAAGTCTCACCCTGGCCAGTGTGACCAGTGATTAGAACACTGTCCCATTCACTGAAGGGTCCTGGGTTTGATTCCTGGTCAGGGCACATACCTAGGTTTTGAGTTCAGTCCTTGGTCCTGGTGCAAACAGGAGGCAACCAATCAATTTCTCTCTCACACACTGATGTTTCTCTCTTTTTTTCTCTCTCTCTTTCTCTCTCTCTCATCAATGAAAAAAGCATATCCTTGGGTGATGATGAAAAAAAAATAAGAAGAAAACCCCTTCTATTTGCCTTTTCTCTGGAAAAGGCTATAGGGATAAAAAATTAGTCCTCAATGAGTGGCAGATGACCTAGTGAACCATACATGGTTGCTAACTTCTGTTGAGTCTAAACAGAAGACAACATGAGTCTAAAGCAGCAGTTCTCAACCTGTGGTCGCAACCCCTTTGGCAGTCGAACGACCCTTTCACAGGGGTCACCTAAGACCATCCTGCATATCAGATATTTACATTACAATTCATAACAATAGCAACATTACAGTTATGAAGTAGCAACAAAAATAATTTTATGGTTGGGTCACAACATGAGGAACTTTATTTAAAGGGCCAGAAGGTTGAGAACCACTGGTCTAAAGGCTACCCAGCTCAAGAATATACTGTTTGTTCTGGTTACACTCAGACCAAAGGATAACTAAGAGAAAAGACAGGTTTTGGCCAGTGTGGCTCAGTAGTAATCTCTATCCCTCTCCTTTCCTCTCTCTCTAAAAAAAATAAAAACATATATTTTTTAAAAAGACAGGTTTGCAGACCATCAAAAAAAAAATAGCTTTCTTGCCCACCCGGGGTGGCTCAGTGGTTGAGCATCAATCTATGAACCAGAAGGTCATGGTTCGATCCCCAGTCAGGGCACATGCTCAGGTTGTGGTCTCAATCCCCAGCATAGGACTTGCAGGAGGCAACCGATGGATGATTCTCTCTCATCATTGATATTTCTATCTCTCTCTCCCACTCCCTTCCTCTCTGAAATCAATAAAAATATAATTTAAAAAAATTAGCTTTCCTCAATAATATAATTTGTGATCTAATTTAGTTCAGGATTTTCCTGGAACATTTGACATAGTCAAAATCTATGATCAACTCTGAAACATCGCTAGACAAGCACCTACTTCAGATGAAGGACCTAAGGCAAAGCTAACGCTCCGAAGCCAAAACAAACACAGAAAGGTGGCTTTTGCCCTCCCATTAATCCAGGTCAGAACCCCCTCATCTTCTTTTTTTTTTTTTTTTTTTTTTTTTTTTTTTAAATATATTTTATTGATTTACAGAGAGAGGAAGGGAGAAAGATAGAGAGTTAGAAACATCGATGAGAGAGAAACATCGACCAGCTGCCTCCTGCACATCTCCACTGGGGATGTGCCCGCAACCCAAGTACATGCCCTTGACCGGAATCGAACCTGGGACCCTTCAGTCCGCAGGCCGACGCTCTATCCACTGAGCCAAACCGGTTTCGGCCCCCTCATCTTCTGATATGCCACGGTTGCGGGTTTGATATCTGGTCAGGGTACATACAAGAATCAACCAATGAATGCACAAATAAATGGAACAACAAATTGATGTTTCTCTGTCTCTCTCTTCCTTCCTCTCTCTCTCTAAAATCAATAAATAAAATTTTAAAAATAGACAATATGACTCTGATGTTCCCACTCATTTGTCTGAGGACTCAAGTCAATATCCAATTAAGCGCTTTAAAAATCAAACAACTTGCCCTAGTTTGTTTGGCTCAGTGGATAGAGCATTGGCCTGCAGACTGAAGGGCCCCAGGTTTGATTCCAGTCAAGGGCACATGCCCTGGGTTGTGGTCTCAGTCCCCAGTAGGGGGCATGCAGGAGGCAGCCAATCAATGATTCTCTCTCATCATTGATGTTTCTCTCCCTCTCCCTTCCTCTCTGAAATCAATAAAACATATTTTTTTAAAATCAAACAACTAGGTTGTATTCAAAGAGCTAGTCTCAAAAACGTGGGGTGAAGAATGGTAGAGAATCCTTACTTACCTAATGAGACAACATTCCCATAATTCTCCTGCATAACATCCCTGTAAAGGTCCCTTTGCGTAGGGTCCAGAGGTCTCCATTCTTCCCGAGTGAGGTACATGGCCATATCTTCAAATGTCACCGGTGCCTGAAATCACACAATGCTTCCTCATTACTTGACATCTCATAGATTGGTACCAGTTTTTCTCCTTGAAATTACAGACATGGCTAGAATTATTGAGAAGGCAAAGGGTATTAAATCTGATTTATAGAGTCCAAAGAAGAAATGAACAAGCTAAAAAGAGATAGAGTAAAGAAGAGAGCAATTTACAAGCTAATTGCTCTGGTCCAATGGCCAGACAACCCTGCCCCACACTGGAATCGTATTCTCTAGCTGTACTTTGCTCAGAACACATCTAGCACCTACATGGCACCACAACTATACTCACAATGTTCCTCTTTTCCTGGAATATCTTTCTCAAACCAGAAAAATCCTATTATTCTTTTTTTATTCCAGATAAGGAAAACCACTGACAAATAGTTAAGTGACAACGGTTTTTAAGAAATAAAAAGAATGTAAGGAGCAAAATAAGTTATGAATGGAAGCGCTGGCCCTCCTCCTCCAGGTATCCTACTATTCTTTTAGGTCCTGTTCCAGTACCAACTATTCTTCGGTGCCCCCCATCCCTCTGCTGAGCCGCACTCCTCCCTCGGACCCCTCAGACAGAATTCATCACTCCCACGCCTTCCTTCTCACACCAAGCACTTTGTTCCTACAGCAAATGGAGCTCTTATCACGTTGTATCACGGTTAACCGGATGCATCTGTCTCCCTATAGATTGTGAGCAGGCGGGAGAGCCCGTTTCATCCATCCACCTTTTGTCTCCCCGGCATTTAAAGGCATACAGCAGGTGTCCAATAAATGCTTGTTTGTGGCTAAACCGGTCTGGGTTCCTGGAGGCACAATACCGAAGCGAGCTAATTACTATTTCCAGGGAATTTCCCACAGGGATTTGCAAAGAAACGCCGGGACCAGGTGGATAAGCAGAGGCAGGGGCCGCGAAGCCACCCCCGGCTTACCTGGGACCCAGCCATGAGCAGGGTGGCTGCCATCTCGGGCTCAAGGATTCGCCTCCCAGGAGAAAGAGCAGGAAAAGCAGCTAGCAGACAGCACTAAAGGAGGCGAAAAGCAGGGCGTGAGGCACAGAACACAGGCCCTGCCCACTCCCCAGGGCTGGAGTTCTGGCCGCCAGACGGCTAGGGAGGGCCCTGGACCCGGGCAGGGTCACTCTCCTCCTTGACCCTCGAGCGCGACCCGCCCTCCGTGTCTCCGCCACCACGGGGTGGAGGCAGTGCCGGGATTTAGCAGGACAGGACAGCTCCCTGGCTCGGTCCCTCCCGCCCGGTCTCAAGCCGCTGCAGTCTCCGGGAGGCGGCTCTCAGCCCAGCCCACAGAACGCCTCCGCTCTTCCATCTCCAGGATGAGGCCTTTCCGGCAGCTGCCTCAGCCAATCAGCGAGCGAAGCTCGAAAAACGCTCTACCAATTACAAGCCGAACACTAGGCCCGCCTCTTGTAACAAGGCTGGACACCTCCATCGCGCCTGCGCCTGCCCCTGCGGCCTGCCGGGAGTTTGAGTTCCATTCTGGTCACTCAGGGGCCAAAAGCCAAGGAGGGAAAAGAACAAAAGGGTGAAGGAAGGACCGCGTTCTCCTACTCAGGACAGAGTATCTTCTGCTTTCTTCTGTCGGAGACAACAGCCCGATGAAGCAAGGGAAGTTGCCCTGCTTCTCCTCACGGACCCTAGAAGCTTATCTTGGATCGGACCTTAATTGCGACGTCTGGCCTAATTTAGGTGCTGGCCTGTGTTGGGTTCCGCTCGGATTAACACTCATCTGACAGCCGTGCCTGAGAGGAAAGAGGCAGCCGCCCACTCCCCGGGGAAGATTCAGCGGCCTCGCTGGAACTTTGAGCTCCGCCCACGCACTACATGTCCCAGCAGCGCCTGCGGCCTTCGCACCCTGCTACACAGACTACAACTTCCAAGAGGACCCGCGCCGCCGGGGAGCTAGCGAGTGTGGTCGGTGGCTGGGACAGGCGGTGTCCAAGCTCCATCGCTATTAACCCTGTAGGGGAGTCTGACTGCGTCCTTCCAAAGAGGGCGCCCCTGAGGGGCGGGCAGAGTTGTGGCTGGCAGAGCGGGAAGCCAAAACGCTGAGCGAATGTGGGGGATAGGGCGTGTAAAGGGAGCGAGCCAGGCCCCAGCGCTGGGCAGAACCGACCTTATCGTTCCGAGGGCTGCTCTGCTCAAAGGTTTCCTGGCCGCCTTTGACACGGACCGGCCCCTGAGGGCCTGAGCCGGGCGGGCCCTCCACATGCTAGCAGTCTCTGATCGCTGAAGATAGCAAGCCAAAAACCCGAGCTGAGAACGAGCAGACTTACCTCCTGGCCCGCGAAAGATCCACTAGACCGCCGGCTCCAAAATCCCCGAGGCCCCAGATTCCAAATCCGCAGGCAGCGTTCTTTGGAGGCTTCAGGCGTTCGGGAAGGTTCTAGAAATCACGACTGGCAGATTCCGGATTATCTCAGACCTGCAGGTAGATCTCGAATCCGCAGGTTTGCAGGCAAAGCCCAGAGATCCCAAAGACTCGCACAGATTCCGAGACCTCAGACGCTCAGGCAGCTCAGAAACCACAGGCTCACAGGCAGGTCCCTCAGAGACCACAGGAGCTGGCCAAGAAACACCAGCAGCAGCTAGGCTGCATGCAGCTGGATTTCTTCCGAACGGAAGGACTGGCCCCCTTCCCTTTCCCCAGCCAGGATGAGAAAATTAGACAATGGAAGCCCAGCACGAGGAAAAGCAGGCATTCTGCGTGGAGAAGCGCTCCGAGCTCGCTGTAGCCTTGGAGAGGGAAGTGATGGAAAAAGAATATAGCAGCTTATTAGGGACTCCCACCCTCTTCAAGTTATAAATATCCCCAGAACCTTGGCCATGTGCCCAGAAGCCTGTTGTCTCTAACTGTACAGGAGACTTCTCTGCCTGCGCTGGGAAAGGGGCTTTTCTTTTGTTTTGCAGATACATCTACCCACCGAGTGACTTGAATTTTTTCCCTCGAACATGACTCCAGGCTATGCTTTTATTAGTGTCCTGTTCCCACCGCCCAGTTATTTTATGGTTAAATTACTCAAGTGTCTGAAAAGAACTAGGACTCTACCCAGCCATGAGGCAGACTCCCACTCCACATCCCCAACTGTGCAGCGAGGAATTCTTTAGATACCACAAAATTGTACCACCTTACCCCACCTAAAATTGTTATGGGTACGCCACACCAAAAAAGTTTTAAAAAATGGAATCACAGAGGGTCCCCGAAAGGCAGTCAAGGTCACACAGACCTGGGTTGAAATCAAGGCTGTATATCCTTTGAAAAGTCATTTAGTCTTTCCAGGCCCATTTCCCTTTCTGTAAAATGGGGTAATCACACCCAAGGTGATGGTGAGCACTGAGATGACTTAAAGTGGGCACTCAGATGACAGCTGTGGGTGCAGGGAAGACTTCCAGAAAGTGAGCACTTTCTGTGGGTATTTTCATTGGCTCGGAAAACCTGGGAAGTCAGAGTGGCTCCATAGCTGTGAGGATCGGCTGGTGACCTTATTCTCACATAATGTTTCTGCTGGAAATCCAGAGGGAACTCCAAGTTGGACCAGTTTGGTGGGTTCAGACAAATTGGTGAATTGAGACCAGCAGAGCAGAGATATTTGGAGCTGCCAGGAATCCAGCAAGTTAAGGCCTCGCCCTTAGGAAAAACCTCTGGGTCAGGGGAGATGGGTTCATTCTTTGGCTGAATACTGTAATTGCAGGTTTCTAACTGGGCCTAAGGTGAGGTGAGCTGGGCGCCCAAGCCCCTCAGCCCAGCAGGGCTCCCTTTTCATCCCTTCTCTGACAGATTGCTTTGTAAACTGTCTTAGGCCTTTTCTTCCCCCTTGCTCCAGTGCTTTAAACCCTTCTTTGTCCTCTGCTGTTTCTTTTATTCCTAGGCCTGGCTGGGGGCAGGGCGACTCTCTAAACCCGGCTTGGCTGCTTGCCTCCTTCTGTGAGTAAGTGCTTTTCTCTTTCTTCACCTGGGACCCTCCAGAGGGTGGAGGAGAGAGACTGAGAGATGGAAGGCTGACTTCTTTTGGTGCCCCTGGGGTAGGGGCGGTGGGCGGCGGGGGGCGGGGGGGGAGTGGAACAGGGGGAGGAAAGAAAGTGGGTGAGGGGCTTCCTGTTGCAGCCTTCAGCGGGACTCTGAGGGTTGGGTCACTGGAGGAGGAAGTGACTTCCTGCCTCATTGTTCAGGACTTCATTGTTTCTCAGGAATATCGTATGTGGGTTTTCAATAACCAATTCGGAAAACTGTATTTGTCCCATCACTTAGCAAACAATGAGCACCTACTGTGTGCAGAGGCAGCAGCACAGCCTATCACCGGGGGAAGGGTCCAGGAGAACCATTTGTCCAGGATCTCCAGATGGAGTTATAGGTTGTCAGATCCACTGACCAGTTTAATCAAAGACCCTCCTAGTATATCTTTAAGCTTGTTTCTTATTAATAGACCACAGTGCCTATGGAGCACTGTAAGTTATTATGTTTTAATAAATCGATAATTATCTTGTGAACCGCACAATTATGTTGTAATTTTTTGTATTAGAAGCATTAATGTGTTAAACATTGAAAAATATGCCTTAATATTTGTGATCTTGTTTTGTCATTTCTTCATTTTCAAATATACCAGTAATATATATATTTTAAAAAATGAAGTAACCTGGGCTTCTCTCTTGACCCTGCTAGGAGCAGAGATGAAGCCTCAACATAGCCGAAGGAGTTGGGAACATGGGGACACACTGACTTCAGTCCAACTGCTATAGTATATGAATGATGAGCTAGCTAGTCTGCACCAAGAAGAGGGGTGCACTCATTGCTGGGGGGCATGGGAGGAGGCTTCACAGAGGAGATGACATCTGAGCTGGCTAGCGAAAGACTGTAGGAATCTTAGAGGTGGCGAACAAGGGGGGGGGCGGGGCAGCGCTTTCCCGTCTTCAAGAACAGCATGTGCGAAGTCATGGAGGCATGAAAGGACAGAGGGTGTTCAGAATGGTCAGGATTGGGTATGGCTGGAAGGAAGAGTGTGGGGGTGGAGTGGCAGGGGAAGGGAACACAGCAGGAACAGTCTCTTATGTCCCCTTGCCCACTGCCTGTTTGTCTCTGCCTTTGGCTGTGGATCAGCGAAAGCTGGTGGTGAGGTGCAGGTGGGCGGCTGGGACTCGCCTGGGGCGAGAAGAGCAGATGGAGCCTGCAGGAAGAGGGGGGAGTGCAGAGCATTGGGAAGCTCTTTGTGACCTTCGTGCATTTCAGCTGGTTTTCTCCTGAGAGAATCAACATTGTCAAAAAATGTAAACAATTGCATTAAAAATGTACAACAAACTTATTTAGTTTGTTTAAAGGCATCAAATAGGCCCATACTCACCAAGCATGTTAACTGAGTCTATTTTGTACCAGACACTGTGCTGGGAGATAGGACACTCCCTCACACAATGACTGCAGGGCTGTTGTGATTAAATTTGAGAGGGCCCGACAGGTAGCTCAATTGGTTAGAGCAGGTTTGATCTGTGGTCGGGACACATACAAGAAGCAACCAATGAATGCATAAAGAAGTGGAATAGCCCTAGCCAGTTTGGCTCAGTGGTTAGAGTGTTGGCCCGAGGACTGAAGGGTCCCAGGTTCCATTCTGGTCAAGGGCTCCATCCCCGGCCCAACTGGGACACGTGCAGGAGGCAACTGACTGATCTGTCTCTCTCACATCATGTGTCTCTCTCCCTGTCTCCCTCCCTTCTACTCTCTCTAAAAGTCAATGGAAAAAATATTCTCAGGTGAGGATTAATAAAGCAAAAACAAAGCAACAACAACAAAAAAAGTGGAACAACAAATCAATGTCTCTTTCTCCCTTTCCCTCTCTCTAAAATCAACAATAAAAAAAGATTAAATGTGAGAATGGCTGCAAAAAACAGGAGCACAGAGGAGTGTCTTGGTTCACAGTGGCCATCATTGCTGTGGGGAAAGTAAAATGCCTCATGTGCTGTGAGGTGAAGCCATATTTCAAATGGCTCAGGATGTGAATAGGGGCCTGGGTTCAAGTTCAGATTCTGCCTCCTGGAAGCAAATTACTCTCTGAACCGTGGTTTTCTCAGTGTGTGAAAGTGTATAATAATACAATTCATAGAGACAGTAGAGTAGTGCTTGCCAGGGGCCGGGGGAAGGGGAAATGGGGAATTGTTTAATACACATAAGAGGTTCAGTTCTGCAGGATGAAAAGAGTTCTGGAGATTGGCTGGACAACAATGTGAATGTACTTAACTCTACTGAACTGTATGTGCCCTTAAAAATGGTTAAGATGGTAAGTTGTATGTATGTATCTTTCACAATTTAAAACAACCAAGAGCATAATAGCCCTGGCCAGTGTGGCTCAGTTGGTTGGGTGTCATCCCCTGCACCTAAAGGTTGCTTGCTGGGTCAGTTCTCTGTCGTGCCCAGGTTACAGGTTTGATCCCAGGCAGCTGATCAATGACATTATTAAATTGTAATTGCTATTAAAAAGTAGTTGCCATTTTGTTCCGCTTTTGTCTTCTAGACATTTAGATGGAAATTTCGATTATGCAGAGAAAAATCTGGATATCTCAACCCTTATCACTCAGTGTGGACCAGCGGTGTGGGCGTCACCTGGGAGCCTATTGGAAACGAAAAATCTCAGGCCCCACCCCAGACAAGGTCCCTGGGGACTCCCACCCATGTTAAAGTGTAGAAGCTCCTGGATAGCTAAGCAACATCCCTCCACACTTCCGTAGGGAATATCGTACCTCAGGCATGTATCACATCCCGTCTGGTATGGAAGTCTGTGCCTATTTCTAGGCTGGGAACTCCTGGGAGGTATACACCAAGCATTGTGCATGGCCCTGGATCTCTCAGCACAATGACAGGAAGCAGGAGACCTGGGTTTCGGTCCTGATCCTGCCATTTGCGGGCTGTGTATGTTGTGTCTTCTGTGAGAGGATTCTCACGCCTTCCAAAGGACCGGCCCCGAATCTGACGGCTGGAACTGAAGATGGTGGTAGGTTTCTAGTTTATTCCCAGGCTTCATCTAGGAGGAGGCACTTGGCGGGTGGAAGGAGGAAGGTGATAACCAGTTCAGAGTAGCTGATGCCCAGGGCATATAAAGAACTTGGGCTGAAGTTACTCAGAACAGCTGCCCTAAGGCTGTACCAAGGCAGATGGAGACCAGCGGCCTCTCTCAGTCACCCTCTGAGGTCGGCGCTGGTACCAACTCCTGTTTTCACAGGTAAGGAAACAGCCCCGAGAGGGGAAGTGACTTGCCCAAGCGTTCACAGGCTCCTGCATGTCAGTCATTTTAGGAAACATAGAGCCCTGGAGGCTCAGGCTGGGGCTGCTGGAAGGCCAGGGACAGAGACTTAGACTCAGGACAGGCCTACCTGACCTGCTCCCCAGGCTTTTCCAGAAGATTCCAGCTTTGCCTAAGGTTCCCATCGGCGTAAAAAGCAAGCCGATGTCATCGAGGGAGAAGCATGATAAGGACCTCCCTGCAGACTTCCTCCGAAGCGGGGGCCACAGATGGAGCTGTGAGGAACGCGTTGCCAGGGCCTAGGCGGCTTCCGAGGCTCGGCACCTTCCAGGGGCCATGGACCTGGGGGGGGGGGGGGGGGGGGGCACTGTACTCTTCAGGCAGAAAAACTCAGTTCAGGATGATCTGTTCCCTGGTTCAAAGGCCCCCAAAGCCAGCTATGAACAGGGAATAGCAGAGTTTGGGAAAAGATGCCGAGCAGGGAAGAAACCTCCCCCATGGCGTGGAGTCGTAGCTGCCCGAGCCAAATCGTGTGCCAAGTGTTCTCGTGTGCGACTCTGGGGCGGGGTGGGGTAAGACTTGCATCCGTCTGTTATTTTATTTTTCAATTCAGCAAAGGCTGGGAGGTTGGGATGTGAGGGAAGGGACGCAAAGCAAAGGTCTGCCAGCGCGTCAAAGATTTGACACCTGAGTCTCTGATTTCTACAAGAGGTTTGTGAACACAGACTCTTCGCATGGTATCCCAATTGGGTTCCCTCTATTAGCCAATCAGTATTCATAACCGGGGATTAATTTGTGAAAGGCTTCTCCCTCTGATCCCTAGTACCCCATTCAGAGTTCAGCGTTTTTCTTCATTTTACATTTTATTTTATTTTTTCTCCAGTTACGATGGCTTAGTGCTTTCTCTTTGTTCTTCCTCAACTTGTTCACTGAAATCCTGGCTGGCAGTTCTATCAGCAGAACTACAAAACCAAAAAGGCAACAGAATTTTAGAGCTTTTCCTGCGCCCCCCCAAGGAGGCAGGGGAAGGGGGAGGGGACATGAAAAAGAAGGCAGAGTCTGGAGCCACACAGACCAGAGTCCAAATCCCAGCTCTGGCATCGTTAGCTGTGTGACTGTGAACAAATCACTCATCTGTAAAATGGGATCATAATGCCGGCCAATGTAAGAAGGATATTGGGTAATAATTGAATGGAAATGTGATGCCAGACATGCGGTGTGCTCTCAACTCATCGTCAAAATATCACTGTGATGATCACCAATCGCTTGATTAGACTCTAGGCCTTCCACCTGGCCGTGAAAATGTGGTCAGAAGCCATGTCGCTGCCACCTCTAGTGGGCCCAGCCTCTCTGACTAATGGGGAAGGGAGGAGGAGCTGGGTTTGCAGCAGGCAGAACGTCTGCTCCTCAGCAGTAACAATGACAAGAGCTATCATGTATTGGGCACTCACTACTAGTAATTCTGGGATAGGCAGTGTTTACAGTTATTCACGCATTTCATCCTCACAGTCACCCCAGGAGGTAGGCACTACGTCACTCCCTTTTTCACGGGTAAAGAAGCAACTCAGAGGGGTTATTAAGTCATTTGCCTAAGCTCCCGTAATGCTAGTGAGAGCCAAACTCGGGATAGCAAGGCTGGTGGTTTCTAGGTACCAGGAACACACGTGCCCAGGGCTTTCTTGTGTGGTCGTACGGGTCGTTCACTGCACAGGAGGGCCTGGCAAAAGGGGCAAGTTGAGCCACCAGAGGCCCTGTTAATGCTTCACGTGTATTACCTTCCCTAATCCCCACAACAGCTCTGTGGGCTAGATGTTAACATCCCCATTTTATAGAGGAGGGAATCCAGGCCTAGAGAGTTCGGGTCACTTAGCTCAGTCACTTTGTAATAAAGTGATAAAACGAGGATTTGAACCCGATGCCATGGCCCATACTCTAAACCAGGCGTCCTCAAACTACGGCCCGCGGGCCACATGCGGCCGGCCGAAAACATTTATCCGGCCCGCTGGGTGTTTTTGCCGCCACTGCCTGTCCTGCTTAGCAGCCGGCTCGTCCCGGGCCCGCAGTGCGCATGTGTGGAATGTCTGAGGGACAGTGAACTGTTCCCCTGTTTAAAAAGTTTGAGGACCTCTGCTCTAAACCACTAGGCCGTTGTACTGGCCCTATCCCTAGGTGCTCAATAGATGAACGAAGGGAAAATACACAATGGTCTGACTTTCGAGTTAAAAAATACGGCAGATCCAATGAGGCCCCGGGGCTATGGAGGCCTTCACTAAAGTTGTAGAAACACAATCGTTCAGGAATTTGCTCCAAACCGTGTGACCTTATGCTTGTGAAACATTTCGGTAGCTCAGTTTCCTCATTCAAAAGTGAGAGTAGTAGTATAAAGGAACATTTCTCCTAGCTGTTTGCAAAGCGTGCATGCATATGTAATCTCCTTCGCATCAATCATTGGAGAAAGGCATGACTATCCTTTTGCCCAGGGAGAGAGTAAGATGCTCAGGGTCACACAGCGAGCAGGGCAGAGTGGAGAGACCGGAAAGCAGGGCTCCCGACGCCCAGTCCCATGCTCGGTCTGGGGCTCCTTGCTAAGGACCTTAGAACTTACGGAGAACCCACAGCCTGCCTGGTGGCCCAGACATCACACAGTGCACGAGCGAGTCAGGTGGTACTGGAGACCGACATTAATCACATGACCACACTGAGTTCTTTCGGAAGAAGACATGGCAGAGGGGAGCACCATGGAGGAGTCTTTGCTTGGCTCTCACGTCTGAAAACAAAACCTCTGGCTTCGTAGGAGCTTGGGCAGCCCAGGTGACAGCCTTGGGTAACGTAAGCTTTTCCAGAGCTGCCTTGGGAAGGGAGGATGACCTGGGAGCACTGCGGGAGAGGCCCCTCTGACAGACCTCAGCCTTCCTCACTCCTGGGGTGGCCAGGTTCAAAGGAAATAACATCTGTGAAAGCGCTTTGTAAAGAAGTGTGGTCCAAGTGGAGAGTGCTATTGTTTTTCTCTGTGGAACTGGGTGGTGGGGGGTGGAGCAACTGACTCCCTCTGTGCTCAGATGAGGGACTTGCCCATCCTCTGATGAAATGTGGCTCCTGCTCCCTTCCCAGCCGGGTACCTTCCAAAACATGCACATGACTGTGCACTCTCTTCCTGCCTCACCAATAACAACCCACCACGATCTCCAGCTCTGCAGATCCACTCTGCACAGGCCGGTAAGCCCCTATGCACAAGGCCCCTTCTTGGCTGTGGGTTTACTACTCCTGATATGGGGCAGCGTCTGTGGATGATGGGGTAGAGGGGTGAGGGAGAAAGATACAGACCTTCCAGCGATTGCCGCACTCATTGCATAAGACAAAGGTCGTCATGGGTTCATCAGCACTGCGTGTCTGCACCTGCGACAGAGAGAGGCCCACTCATGAAGTCACTGCCCTGCTCTAGGACCTGCCTTAGCTCCCACTGTCTGCAGAAGTGGGTCCAAGTCCCAGAGCTTAGCACTGTTGGCAATCCCTTATCACTGAGAACTCTCTAATGTACATTTTCTTCTCTTGCAGGTCCATCAGCTCACCTTCAGTATCTCACTGGCTCAACCTGACGTTTGCACTTTCACTCTTGTTGATCTTTCTGAACTGATGTCTCTTCTCTTGCCTCAAGACTCATCTCCTACAGGAAGTATTCCCTGACTCACCTCTGAACATGCCCGATGAGGTGAGCTGGAAGCACCCCTAGGGATCACTTAGATCATTCCTTATTTTATAGGTGGTAGGACTGAGGCCAGAGAGGAAAAGAGATTTGAAGATCATGGGGACTATTTAATGTAATGGGGTTTTTTTTAGTTTCTCACCCCCTTACCCAAACCATCAGGTGCAGGTTTCCCACAGCAAATCCCTGGCATTTCCAGATTTAAAGATTGCTGTTCTGGTTTTTTCTTTTTGAATATATTTTATTGGTTTTTTCCAGAGAGGAAGGGAGAGGGATAGAGTTAGAAACATGAATGAGACAGAAACATCGATCAGCTGCCTCCTCCTGCACACCCCCTACTGGGGATGTGCCTGCAACCAAGGTACATGCCCTTGACCGGAATCAAACCTGGGACCCTTCAGTCCTCAGGCCGATGCTCTATCCACTGAGCCAAACCAGTTAGGGCTGTTGTTCTGATTTTCTATAAATGGCCATGACATATAGCACGTAGTTACTTTGCTGACACTCAGCTATGAATGATGTCAGCTGGGAGTCCACGGGGTGGGAGGTAGTCCCTGGACTAATGAGGGAGCCCGGCAGTCGACCAGGAGGATGCAGCTTAGCACCGCCTCGTCCCTGGAGAGCAATGGCACCTGGAGGAAGGAGAGCACTGGGGGTCCTCTGTGCAGAGAAACGTTGCTGATGGGCAGTGTACTTCTGGGGGGAGGCCAGGCGCAGGACTCATACCCTCCACACGAGAAGTGCTTGGAGGAGAGCAGGAGCTTGCACAAACATCTCGGAATTCCTGAATCGGGGTTCTCCGAGGGGCGATTCCGGAATGGCAAGGCTGACTGTATTTCTGCTGTAGCCACAGATCCCCACAGGCAAGGTGCTCCTGATACACTTGCTTGCTGAGCAGATGGAGGAGTGAATAGAGTTCCAGAATGATGGGGTATCAATTAGAATCCAAGAACATTGGTGCCCTAAGGGCATAATATGTGCCACCCAGAAACAGCAGGTGGTTCTCTGGTTTAAAGTCTCCCAGAGAAGGGGCCTCCATGCCTTACGTGGCTCCCCAGACAGGGGCAATGGTCTTCATCCTCAGGACTCGGGGCTAAAACCCTTAGGCTTTGCACACAAAGTTGGCTGTGATGCAGGCAGAAAGGTCTAGATCTAGACTTATTCCTGTCTCTGTCACTGACCATCTTTGCCATCTTGGACAAAGCTGCACAGCTTGCCCCCTGTCTGGGCCTCAGTTTCCCTGTGTGCAAAGTGAGAGAGCTGAGTTTTATATTGCCACGTTCCCTTCCAGCCATCTGTGACTCTATAGTTCTGTGCCCTGTGAGTCTGGTTCCTCTTAGTCTTGCTGCAGGTACAACCAGAACATGCTGGCCGAGCCTCACAGACACAAATCGGGGTGGTTGTATATGCAGAATGTCATTTTCTAGAAGCCACGGGACCCTAGCTGATGTTGCTCAGTGGTTAGAGTGTTGACCTGCGCACGGAAGAGTCGTGGGTTCGATTCCTGGACAAGGGCACGTACCTGGATTGCAGGCTCAATCCCTCATGTGGGAGGCAACAAATCAATGTGTCTCTCTCACATCGATGTTTCTCTCTCTTTCTCTCTCTCTCTCTCCCTCTCTCTCTCTCTCATCTCTCTCCCTCCCTCCCTCCTTTCCAATATCTCTGAATAAGCAATGGAAGAAATATCCTTGGGTGAGGATTAACAAAAACAAAACAGAAGCCATGGGTACATGTTGGTGTACCAAGACTTGTCCTTTTCTCTGCAGCCTGGAGTTTTAACTCTTCCCCGCTCTGGCTCTTCCCTGAGCTCTCTCTGGTTCTCCATCTCTGTGCCCCTGTGGCTTCCTCCCCCTCCTCACCTTACCTGGTTATAGGTACAATTCTTCTTCTTGCATTTCTTGCACTGGAAGAGGCCAGTGGTGGTGCCGCCCGTTTTGGCCATCTGGTGCTCACGGATAGCCTCCTGGGTCATGGCGTTCCTCAATTCCCGCAGCTCGTCACTGGCCATTTCCTGGAGAAAAACAAGTTTGTCCTTCAGGGCCAGGAGTCCCAGGGGCCCTGCTCCATACCTGGTGTCTAGGGAGCCTGAACAGAGGAGGGGAACCTGCTGGATTGAGTACAAGGAGCTGGAGGGAGGCCTGGACTCCTGGCCCTGCCTCCACAGGGAAAAGGCCATCCCCATTGGGTGGGGGGGCAAAACTGGGGGGTTCTGGTGGGCCAAGTGCAGAAGGGCGTGTGCAGGAGAGCAGAAGGCAAACCGCTTCTGCCCCCGGATCAGCACTCTTGGGTACACTTCCTCAGACCTGGTGCTCACCCTGCCTGCCTGGACCTTGGGCACCTGCCTGAACCTTCCTGCTTGAGCTGACTTGACCAGGGACCACCTGATGTATGATGTGCTCCTTATCCGTCTGGTCTGGACATGACCCAGGCCTGCCCGAGCTGTGATCACTGCCCAGCCCATTCTGCCTGTGGGGACCTGGTCTCACCATGACTTGCTGTTGCTGTCCCCACCCACGCGGGACCTGAAGCACCTGGGCTCACACCACTAACTGCTCACCTTGAGTGCATCAGAACATCGTTAAGTTCCTACAGATCAAACTCTCCTGTCTTGTGTCATCTCACTGTAGACACTCAGTGTCCGCACTGTCTAGGTCAGTGGTCGGCAAACTGCGGCCCCTTGAGTGTGGCTCTTCCACAAAATACCACGTGCGGGCACGCACGTACAGTGCGATTGAAACTTCGTGGCCACACTCAAGGGGCCAAAGAGCGCGTGTGGCTCGCGAGCCGCAGTTTGCCGACCACTGGGCTAGGTCCTTCCTTTCTTTATCCTTCTCCCTGGCCATTTGACTGCCCTTAAACCTCTGCCAGGTGAGAACAGAGAGGGGGTCACTCAAACCAGAGAGAGTCCTAGGGAAGGCTGGTGTGGGGGAAGGAGGAGGGCAGAGGCTGATGCTAAAATGAGTGAGGATCTGGGAGTCGCTCAACATTTCCACTGTTGCTTTCTAACCTGAGTCCTTAAACCATGGAGAGCAGAGCTGGCAAAAAGGTCCTATATTTTAGTGACCACTAAATCTAATGCTGACCACTGCGCTATAACCACTTGGGCTTCTTGTCAAAATGCAGATTCCTAGGAACCCAAAACTTGAAGGTCAGGCCCAGGAATATGCATTTCTACCAGTGTCCCCAAGTTACTCTGGTGCACACAAATGTTTAAATTCTATGTTAAATTCAAGGAATAGGTTCTAACCAACAACGGGGTAAAGCACGTCAGCCAAGGCCATATACTGGTAAGCAAAAAGCAGCTGATTTTAATTTGGGGGCAATTTCCCAGAGCATAATGCATTTGTCCATTCAAAATCTATGGGACGCTAATTTATTGAATGTCTAACTGCATTGGTGTGCTAGTAAACCGGGTTTGACCATAGGGGTGGCTGATATGTAGTATTTATCAATTTCCATAGTGTAAATACTTCCATCAAGGCCAATTTCAAGCGGCTAATGTGGATGTCGCTGAATGCAGAGCTGGGAGTAGCTACACATAATCCTGTCTCCTGAGCTGGTTGGAGCTGGTTTCAGAGCACCACTGCCTCTAAGCCCTCAAGATAAGATTTGGCTCCTGTCCCCAGGTAATGCTAGTCTGGTCTAGTAGCCTAGCATTCACACAGGATAGCAAGATAGCCTATGAAGTATTAAAACAAAGGCATACAAAATGCAGGGAAAGCCCCCCACCCCTAGTGTGGGGTTAACTGCTTGGGGGCAGGAAAGATTCATTAAAGAAACTGACACCTTAACCAATCTTGAAAGATAAACAAACTTCCAGGGCACATTCTAGACTTAGCGAATAGTCCATGCAAAAGTTCAGAGGACAGCCTGGCCAGTGTGGCTCAATGGTTGAACATTTGACCTATGAACCAGGAGGTCCAGGTTTGATTCCTGGTCGGGACACATGCCTGGTTGTGGGCTCGGTCCCCAGTGTGTGGCATGCAGGAGGCAGCCAATGATGCTCTCTCATCATTGATGTTTCTCTCTTCCCCTCTCTCTCTCTCTCCTTCTCCCTTCCTCTCTTAAATCAATAAAAAAAAAATTTTTTTTAAAGGAAATGAAACTTAAAAAAGATCAATAACATGTTTGGGGAAGGGTATATAGAGTGGGGCTCAGGGCGAGGAGTGTGGGAGACATGGCTGAGGGTCAGGTTGTAGAAAGACAGTCTTGTGTGTCACCTAAGGAATAAAAACAGAAAAATATTCTATCCACTCGCCCACAAATCCATTTACCTAGCTCTGCCCTGACTCAGTGAGCAGACAAAATCTCTCTCCTTGTGGGACCGACAGTATGTCCACTCAACAGTTCTAATGGGTATCTCAGACTCTACTCCATTCTTTGACATGTCTGGGTGGAGAGGAAAAGAGAGGAGGCATGAGGGAATCAGGTGGACAAGGAAAGAGACACAGAAAGGGAGTTAGGGAGACGTGGACATGGAGAGGGACATGATCCACACGGGCCTCCCCTGTCCCAGGCCTTCCCTGACAGCACCTGCCTGTCCTCTGAGCCCAGCACTGCAAGCAGCCCACACAATGCTGTTATTTTTCTTATGGAGCAAAAATGGTCCTATATTTCTTATAGAAACCTCCCGCCTGGAGCAAAAGGTGACCTGAGGAAGATCTCCTTGGCATCCATGTTGGCTGAGTTGCTGGCAGGGGTTCCTCAGCGGCGGGCCCTGGCAGTCCCTTCTCAAGGGCCTGCTAGATTCCTGGCCTGCTCCCCTTGGTCTGGTCAGCCTCTTTTTGGGCCTGGGTTGATCACCCGATTCTCTTGCCCTGTTCTAGTGAACAGCCCTTGGGTGGGGCCCGATCTCATCCACGTGTCTGGCTTGGCCAGTTGCTTTGCTGGGACTTCTGGGGCTTGTCTCTGGCCTAATCCGGACGCTCAGCTCTGTTATGACCTCCAGCTTCTGGGAACTTGCTGGGTTTGGCTCAAACTTGTGCCAGACCTTGCTTCTGGTTCCCATGGGCTCGGTTTCCCAACATGCTCTGGAATGGCCTGTAACACAGACTCCCAATAGCATCCCACAGCACACACACACAGAGAAGCAGCGTGACCCCAGGGCCACGGGTGCGGGACAGAGGAATAAACGCAAGGCTGGGTTTCCAGAAAGGTCACAGCTACACCTTGCAGGGAAGGAGCATGTGCCTAAAGCCAAGTTGCAGTGGTAACCCTGGGCACAGATTGCTAGTTGCCTAAAAAGATCAGATATTTAAAATTAAGCAGAAAGACAATCCTGGTCCACTGGCCTAGTTCCCCATTTTATCTGAAAGCCAGGGTATTATCTTTCTTATTTTGGGTATTTGAGGAAGTCAGTTAGCTTCCCTCTATTAGCTTCTCAGAAAAACGTACATGCACACTACATAACAAGCACACACCACTTACATAGACCACACGTACCCTAACCACACACACCATACACACATAGAGTACATACACACACCACACATCATATACACACACACAAAGGCCCACTCCTGCCAAGAGTTTCAGCAGATTCCCAGATACCCTGAGGCACACCCAGACTCCAGATGTCATGCATTTTCCCTCCCCTTCTCAGGGCCACTTCCCTGACTAGTGCTTCGTGTGCCAACTCCAGGGGCTGTGGGGAATCCCTCTGTTAGCCGTGGCAGTAAAGAGCCGCTTGTACCTGGGGATGTGTAAAGATCTTTACACCCTCATCTGTCACTTGTAAGTTGTGTGTGACCTCAGTTTTCTCATCCATAAAATGAGGATACTAGCCCGGCCAGCGTGGCTCAGTGGTTGAGCATTGAACTATGAACCAGGAGGTCACTGGTTTGATCCCCAGTCAGGGCACATGCGCAGATTGGGGGCTCGATCCCCAGTAGGGAGCGTGCAGGAGGCAGCCAATCAATGATTCTCTCTCATCATTGATGTTTCTCTCTCCCTTCCTCTCTGAAATCAATAAAAATATCTATTTTAAAAAATCAGGATACTATTTCCTCTTTCATAGCATTGTGCTGAGGGTTACATGAAATGGTTGGTGAATGGGCCTATCGGACACTAATTCTGAGGAGGGCTTTTTATATATTAATCTTCTAAATTCATTGAATGCTTATGAGATAGCTATTATTATTATTATCATCCCGTTTTACAGATGAAAAAACTGAGGCACAGAGAGGTTAAGTGGCTTGCCTAAGATTACACAGCTAAGTGGTAGAGGCAGAATTCAAACTCAGACAGGCTTGTTCCCTTTTCCTTCCCTTACTGACCCTTTTAAGCTGGAGCAATCCTTCCTTCCTCTAAGTCCCCACGATGCCTCTATCATGGCACTTCCACCTGTTTTACACATACTTGTAAGTATATCCGTCTCCCCACCTTGGACTGTGCTCCATGCAGACAGAGACTCCTGTTCTGGCTTGGGCCCGGAGCGGTAATGGGCTACAGGCAGAGGAGGGAGGCAGATAACCAAGCAGTGAAGAGTGAAACTCTAAGACCCAACAGCTCGCCTCCTGGCCTGAATCTTTTCTAGATGTGTCTATAGGCAAATCAGTTAACTCCTCTGAGCCTCAGCCTCCTCATCTGTAAAATGGGGATAATAAACACTCCCACCCTAGTGGGTGTGAAGATAGAATTGACCAGTGTGTCTAAAGTGCTCAGGACAGTGCCTAATACGTATGAGCCGTGTCCACCATCCTGATGGTCCAGAAGCCTTGAGAGGCTGGGAGTCCGAGATGGTCTGCTGGAAGAGCTCCCTGGCTCATCTTTTATGGAGTCACAAACCACTGCCTCTCCAACTTGGAGAAAGCTGGAGGGGCCTGGCCTCCCACCCCACTGTGCAGAGGTCCCGGCCTGGCCCTCACCTCTGCCGTCATCTTGGCAATGAGGCCGGTGGAGATGGCCCCACTGAGCACGTTCCGCCGCAGCCCAGGGTTCCTGGGGTCCTTGAGGTTGCTGATTCGGCTGCGCACCCGGTTCCGGTACTTCATATCTGTGCTCTTGAGCTCCTGGTAGATATGTGACATGGTCAAGGGCCAGCTCAGCTGCTCATAGAGGGGAGGATGGGGAACCTCTCCTGGAAGCCTGAGGAGATCCAGGGCCATCTCTTCCTCTCCTTGGACTTGTTCAGGGTCGGGCACTTCTGTGGCATTTGAGGGAATTGCAGTAGGCATTTGGGGTCAGCCATGTGTCGGGGACAGGAAACAGCCTCTAAGGTTACAGCAAGCACTGTGGTGTCCGGGACTCCGGGAAGGGGCAGCCCAGGTTTGTCTGAGCCTCTTGTATGACCTCAGGTGGCTCACGTGACCTCTTTGTGCCACACTTTCCTTATTTATAAAATACGGGGCTGTTATGAGGATTCAGCAATCAAAGCTGCATGATGCACTATTGTGGTGTCTGGGACACAGCAAGAGCTCAACATTTAGGGGCTGCTATGAGGATAACGATGAAGGTTACCTCTAGTTACCTGAGGGTTGTGAGTCCAGCTGGCAGAGAAAAACAAGATAGGAGCCACATGTTTCAGGCTCTAAGAATACTGCAATAAATACATTGCTGAACTTTGTTTGATCCAGTGCCCCCAGTTCTCTGTCATCATTCCCTGGAACCTACTTTGGGAATTGCTGGTCATTAATAGAGGAGGAAGCTGAGGCTTAGGAAGAATGAAGGCCCTCGCTCAAGGTCACAGGGCAAATTCCCGGCAGAGACAGGGCTGGATGCCAGAGCCCCTCCTCATGGTAATGCTCTCCGCTCAGCCAGCAGGAAGTTGCCACTGGCCATGAATCACAGTGACTGCTCTGTCCAGATGCTGTATCCCAGACAGGCCTCCCGCTCCCTCCTCTGGAGGGGCTCAGGGAACACAGCCCAGTGTTCTTGGTCTCCTCAGCCAAGGAGACTCAGGAAGATGAGGCCTTTGCTGGGTAAAGCCAGAGACGAGACAGAGACTGCGGGGAATGTAGAAAAATGGAAACAGCTGACTTGCTTGGGAAGGAAGGTGGTATTATTTCTGTTTTTGCTTTCATGTTGTTTGTACAATAAAAGTGTAAAAAGAAAGACTGTGCCATAATGCATTTGGAAGCCACAACGTATGTTTAAAAATCTGTGTTTGGGATGCCTGGAGGTGTGGATCTGCTCATGTGGGGACAGGAGGGCTGGCAGTACTGCCACCGGCTCCTTCCCGACTGTTTCCTGAGATCACAGGGGAGGACAAGGTAGAGCAGAGCGCGGACCTGGGTGTCACTGACCCCTCAAAGGAGCACATGTGAGCCCCACGGCTGCTATTTCGTCCAGGGTCACTCTGAAGAGGACACACGGTCAATGTGGCTCTGATTTCCTCTCCTTCAGTGACCGACATTCAGGAGGAAGAAAACACAGAGGAAAGGCCAGCGGAACGAGGTACTAGATCACCCACCTTTGTTTCAAACTGGGAAGGGACCTGCTTGGAGGGACGACTGTTCCAGAGAAAACAAAGAGGAAGCCCATGCTCCGTGTTCTGAGTGAGTGAGAAATTATGAGTATGCATTTGGTGAGATGCTGGGTAGCTCAAGGGTGGCTAATAATCAAATGATGGTGGAGAGAAACTCCCAGAAGATGTGTTGGAGGATATTAGTGTGGGCCTCAGGCAGGAAGGAGATGGAAGCAGGCAAGTTTGTTGTCTGCAGATTGGCCTCCACCCCTCCCTAACCCCAGCTGGCTCCCCAGGGAAAGCCCAAGAGAGTCACTCAAAAGGGTCACTCATACCTCAGGGTGACACCCAGAGGCCCTCTCTCCTGGGGATGCTGTCCGCTTCCCTCCACACCTCTTGGACATGCAAAGCTTTGTCTCCAGTAAAAGAAATCCCAGCATTCACTCAATGGGGCACAGCACCAAGGGATGTTTTTCCCTCCAAGAGGGAAATCTTTTGGTGCGATAGGCCCATATCACACAGGTAGGTGGTCACCTCCTTATGGAACGACCGCAGGATGTAGAATCCAAAGACCAAGGTTTTCAGTCCAGCTCTGACATCAGTAGTTCCTGAGCCTCAGTTTCCTCATCTGAGAAATGGGAACGGCAGCCCCTGCTTCACAGAGATTGTTGTGAAAATTAATAGAGGTAGGAAGTGTCAGTTGCCCATCACAGGGCTTGGAACATATTGGGGAGTAAAAAATGGGAGCTGTTATCTTCAGCAGTTGGAAGAGGGGGGAGGGCTGAGTATGAGAAATGCGGTCCTTCTCTGTCTACTCACCTACTGGACGTCACACACTAGGCATGTTATGACATAGACTGTCTGGCACAGACACTGAGCCTTCAGGTTCTGGAATCACACTTTCTGGGTTCCAGTCTCAACGATGTCACTACTGTTTGCTGTGTGAGCTTTGGCAAGTGGCTTAACCTCTCTGAGCCTCAGTTCCCTCACCTGAGAAACAGGATTGATGAGGAAACCTACCTCGTAGATTGTTCTCAACACTGAATGAAGTACTGCTCATACACAACTTGGTATGAGACGGGCAGGTGCAAGACTTAACAAATATTTGCTAGAATCAAGAACTCCGGTTCAGGGGCCGAGCAGGGGGCTGTCCGGAGTCCTTTCCCTCCCTGCTCACTGTCCTGGGTCCCCTGTACTTGGAAGACCTGCTGCTGGACGGTCCAGGCACCCACAGCCTTGGCAAAGCTCAAGGATATGATCTTCAATTTCTGATGCCATCTTGTCACAGTTGACTCCATAGTCCTTGTAATCATCTAAAAGAGATTGGGGAACACAGGCATCAGCCAGGCATGACCTTGGCAGTGAGGCCTGCTTGTACCAAGGACTACAGCACCCTGAACCCTCCCATGGCACTGAGAAAGGCCACACCTCATCTGCCCCTGGGAAGCCCTTCCCTCCCCATCCCCGGCCCAGGCCTTCTCACCATCCGCCTTCAAGGCCGCCGAGAGCATCTCCACACACTTGTCCCGGACAGAGTCCCCTGTGAGGTAGCAAGGTGCCAGGAGGCAGATGGAGGAGGCAAAGGTGGGGCTCGAGGGGCTGCTGGGTGTTTTGGGGGAGGTCTCCGCTTTCGATTTGCCGCTGTTTGATCTGAGGATGACAATCAGTAATCGACTTTCTGATACTAAGCAAATAAAGCATTTATTGAGCAATGATCCCTTTAATCTCATAACAAGCCTACGAGGTAGGAACTATTTTAGGTACTTGATATGGATCATCTCATTTAATTCTCATAACCCCACGAGGTTGATACTATTCTTTTTTTTTTTTTAATACTCAACGGAACTCAAACCATGACTAGCTACAGTACGAATATGAAGTTAACATGCAAACTGTTTTCTGTGGGTTTTTAAAATATGTTTTTATTGATTTCAGAGAGAGGAAGGGAGAGGGAGAGATAGAAACATCAATGAGAGAGAATCATTGATCGGCCGCCTCCTGTACGCCCCCTACTGGGGATCAAGCTCGAAACCTGGGATCAAACCAGTGACCTCTTGGTTCATGGGTCAATGTTCAACCACTGTGCCACACTGGCTGGGCTACAGATGCATTTTAAATAATGATACTCAGGTCACACATCTGGAAACGAGTAGGACCAGAATGAAAACCCAGGCAGTTGAACTCTGGTGCCCAGGCTCTTAACCTCCCACTGTGCTCTACTGGTTACAGAACGGTGTAACAATGCCAAAAACTATATCCATTAGGGGCTGCAAGAGCTCCTCTCTCTCTCTCTCCCTCTCTCTCAGCTCTCATTGAACCATTTACTCACTCATTCAATAAACAGTTCAATAAATATTAATTAGGCACCTATTCTCAGGTACTGTGTTGAGAACAAGGGATAAAGCAGACAAGGCAGAAAAGCTCCCTCCCTCAAGGAACTTATCGTCTACTGACTAGTGAATGCACCACCATTTAAGAGCGCCGGCTCGTACCATGTACCAGGAACGGTGATAGGCACTGGAGGAGCACTTTCTAATTTACTCCTCACAGTAGTCCTAGGAGGTAGATACTGTTGGCATCCCCATTTGCAGCCGAGGAAACAAACCGAGAGTTATATCACTTGAGATTTGAACTCAGGCCTGTCTGATTCCAACCCTAACACTCTTTTTTCAAAAAAAGAGTTTTATTGATTTTGGAGAGAAAGAGAGGAAGGGCAAGGGAGAGAGAGGGAGCTGCCTCCCGCATGCCCCCTACTGGGGATCGAGCCTGAACGTGCCCTGATTGAGAACTGCACAAGCGACCTCTGGGTGCATAGGTCGATGCCCAACCAACGTAGCCACACCAGCCAGGGCCTAACCCTAACACTCTTAACTCCTATGATACACTGCCGAAGAATGATCCCATTTTGTTTTTGGCTTAAAAAAAACTCCACACAAATAAATAAATAAATAAATAAATAATAAAATACAATACTGAACTGTATGACTTAAACAACAGAAATTTATTTCTCACAGTTCCAGGGACTGGGAAGTCCAAGATCAAGGTGCTGGTCAGTTTAGTTTCATGTGAGGGCTCTCCTTCCTGGCTTGTAGATGGCCACCTTCTCGCTGTATCCTTACATGGCAGGGAGAGAGAGCGAGTGAGCTCTCAGATCTCCTCCCATAAGGACACTACTCCTATTGGATCTGCTTCACCCATATGACCTCTTTTAACCTTAATTACCTCCATAAAGGCCCTACTTCCAAATTCAGTCACATTGAGCTTCAACATATGAATTTCAGGAAGGAGGAGTAGATAACATTCAGACCAGAACACCATATTAGTAACAATGATCTCTCTGAGATGGGATTATAGGAGATTTTCATTTTCTTCTTTTGCTTATACATGTCTTCTAAATCTACGAGAAATATGTCTACTTTAATAATGAGAAACACTTTTTAAAAAAACATTTGACAATTATGAACGGTAACTGTGCTGATGGCTCGGACAGGCTTCCTGTCTTCCTGTTATTAAGGAGCTGCCAGCAGCCCTAGCCGGTTTGGCTCAGTGGATAGAGCGGCTGCCTGTGGACTGAAGGGTCCCAGGTTTGATTCCAGTTAAGGGCACATGCCCAGGTTGTGGGCTCGATCCCTAGTTGGGGGCATGCAGGAGGCAGCCAATCAATGATTCTCTCTCATCATTGATGTTTCTATCTCCCTCTCCCTTTCTCTCTGAAATCAATAAAAGTGTATTTAAAAATATATATATAGCCCTGGCTGGTTTGGCTCGGTGGATAGAGCGTCGGCTTGTGGACTGAAGGGTCCCAGGTTCGATTTCGGTCGAGGGCACATGCCTGGGTTGCGGGCTCGATCCCCAGTGGGGGGCGTGCAGGAGGCAGCCGATCAATGATTCTCTCTCATCATTGATGTTTCTGGCTCTCTCTCCCTCTTCCTTCCTCTCTGAAATCAATAAAAATATATTTAAAAAAATATATATAGTAACCTCAATGAATAACAGTAGCCAGAAAACCTGAAATACACAATGACAACCTGTTTTATATATTTGGTAAATCTTAATTCATTTAAAATTATGAAATATCTCTTCTTTCTCATGCTAAAAAATTTTGTTACATATATTTTACCACAATATTTTAAAAAATATTTCATATGTGTCTATTGATTTTTTAGATAGAGGAAGGGAGAAGTATAGAGAGATAGAAACATCAATGAAAGAGAAACATCGATCAGCTGCCTCCCACACGCCCCCTACTGGGGATTGAGCCCACAACCCAGGCATGTGCCCTGACTGGGAATTGAACTGGCAACCTCCTGGTTTATGGGACAATGCTCGACCAACTGAGCTGCACCTGCCAGGCTCATGGCTTCCAATTATTTTCAGCATAAAGTCACACTCCTCATTGTGGCTTCCCTGTCCCCCCACATCTGGCCCCTGCCTGCCCTCTGACATGATCTCATGCTGAGCTCCCCTCACTGTTCACTGAAGCCTCTACTGCCCTCCTGCTTTCTGTTCCCTAAACACTCCTGTCCTCTCACCACAGTGCCTTTGCACAGATGGCCCCTCCTCCCAGGAGGCTCCTCCTCCAGCTTTTCCTATGACTGGTTCTTTCCCACCAGTCAGGCCTCTGCTCAAATATCACATTCTCAGGGAGGCTTCCTTCCCTGCCCATCCCAGCCAAGCAGCCTGTCTCTGCCCTATAACTCTCTAGCACATGACCTAATTTCTTGCGTTCATGGCACATATCCACGTCTATAATTAACTTGTTTATGTGTTTATAAACATTGTCTGCTTTCACCTCCAGAATACAGGTTCCATCGTCGAGGAACCCCATTGGCTGGCTCACCACCGTCTTCCAGCACCTTTAACAGCGCTCTAGGTGGGTACTTGGTGAACCTTGGTTGATGAATGAATGCAGAATGAGATGAGGGAGCTGGCCACAGAGAGATGAAAGGTGCATTCAACAGGTTTAGGCAGAGATGAGCTGAGTGGGGGCAGGTCCTCTTTGGAAGGCCAGTGACCTACGAGAAGGATCTCTCTCTGAGCCAGTGTCTGTCAACAACTACGACCTGGACCAACCCATCTCCTACAACTGTGATGGCGTTCCGGATTCTTCCTGGTGTTGCCCCTCATCGAGCCCTGTACCCCATCACGACATCCTCAATGTCTAGGACTCAACAGTGGGGAACCACCAGGGGGAGCCTGAGGATGCTGCTCCGAAGAAGGCATGATAGCAAGCAACAAGAATAACATTGCCATTTAGGGAATGTAAATGCACCGAGGCGATGTATTTATTAAGGATCCAGGCTCCAAAGCCAAACTCCAGGTTCAAGGCCTGACAACACCACGTTGTAGCTATGTGACCTTGGGTGAGTACCTTCTCCTCTCGGTGCCTCAGTCTCCTCACGTGTAAAATGGGGATAACAATAGTACCCACCTTACAGAGTTGTTAAGAGGATTAAAGCACCTAAGAGAATTCTAGCAACAAAGTATTAGGCAATTGACATCGGTAACCACATTAAGTGTGAGTGTTAGTACTAAGCATTATGTAGTTATTGAGCACTTACACGGAGTAGGAACAGTGCTAAGCATTTCATTACCTCATTTGGTTTTCACATAACCTGAAAAGGGGGGTCACAGTTACCCCCATTTGACAGGTCAATAGACTGAGGCTCACAGATGAACTGACTTGTCCAAGGTCCTCCAACTAGCAAATGGCAGAGTCACACTACACATCTAGGTCTGCCCGCCTTCCAAATGCTTTTCAATACATCTCACCGTGTCTCTAAAAGGCAGAGTTTTCCAGAAGCCCTTTACCTGGGCAAGGCCAGGCTGCTTGTTGACGTTTTTTCCTCACCTTCCTGGCAGGGCCTCCCAGTCCCCGTGCCTCCTCTTGGCGAGGAGCGGGCTGGTTGGCTGGCATTTGTTTCTAGGTGGCATTTCAGGCAGCCACGCTCATTTTGCTTTCAATGCACAGAACTGGGAACTGAGTCAAATTGCAGAGAGGGTGGAGGTAGGGGGTTGGATTCATCAGAGCGTCCTTCTGCTTCCCGGATGTGTCAGTGTCGGCACCAGCCTGTGGTCTGACACCAACCATTCAGTGCTTAGAAAATCCATCCACCCCAGGTCAGAGCAGAGGCACCGGGAGACCTGTCTCGCTGCTCTTGCACGCCACCTCGAGGGCATTTCAGGTACTGCACCGCCAAACACCTGTGGTTCTCAACCTTCCTAACGCCGTGACCCTTTAATACAGTTCCTCATGTTGTGGTGACCCCCAACCATAAAATTATTTTCGTTGCTACTTCATAACTGCAATTTTGCTACTGTTATGAATCGTCATGTAAATATCTGATATGCAGGATGTATTTTCATTGTTCGCGACCCATAGGTTGAGAACCGCTAGGACCTGAAAACCAGCTGGGCCCGGCCCTAGCAGCCTTCTTCCCTGACACCGTGATGCCCTTCGTGGTCTGCTCCCTGGTACTCCAGCTACCGTTCCCAGAGCATCATGCTCACTCATACTGCCACACCTTTGCATGCGCCATTCCCTCTCTCTGGGGTGGCCTCTCTTAGCCTGTCTACCAGGCAAAATTCTATTCATTCACATAACAATTTTCAGCCCAAATACTCTCTCTTCCATGAAGTCTTCTTTTAAA